GTACATTCCAAAATTTGACATAATACTCGGTTTTGGCCTTAGTTTAAGGTAAAATTTCAATCACATTAATAAATTATTTTATGGCTTTAATACATGAACATTTATATTTTATGTGTAAGTTATTAGTATTTAGTTACATATTTCCTATCAACTTTGTTTAAAGAGATAATATTTATTTTATGACTTTGCATTGCCTTGGAAGCACTATTTTTATGTTGTTGATGATGGTTTCCGAAACACAAAAGGATTTTTAGCTCCAAACAAAGGACTACACTATCGTTTGCAAGATTACCGAGGAAGTGAAAGAGAACCTCAAAATGCCAAAGAACTATTTAATTATAGGCATTCATCTTTGCGCAATGTGATTGAACGGACTTTTGGAGCTTGGAAAAATAGATTTAGAATACTGAAACAAGGCATGAACCATTATGATATTGATACACAAGTGAAAATTGTCATAGCTTGTGCATTGTTACATAATTATTTGCGAGAATACCAAAGTAGTGATGAAATATTTATGGTGTATGAACATGAAGATATAGTTGCGGAGGATATTGACCAACAAATGACTCAAAGTAACAATATTGGTTCGTCTTCTCGGTCACATGATCGAGAAATGCAAGTTCAACGTGAGGAAATTGTCCGTACTATGTGGGAGGATTATATTAAAGACTAGTACACTACAATTTATGTTCAATTTTTTTTATTAAATTAAAGTTAGATGAAACTATTACTTAAGTGTGATATACCGTGAGTTTACGGTATTTCTAATACATTTCACTTACAAGTTGTGTGTGTCTATGGCCTTTTTATATTGGTTTTTATGTGTTTTTATCATGTTTTGCAGGAAAGGTGTTCAGGCGCGGAAGTTTAAAGACAACTGAAGGAAATGCAGAAACAGGGCATTTACGGAGGTGATCTACGGACCGTAGGTCAATTCACGGTCCGTAGGTTATGACCGTAGATCAGCAGGCATGGTATTGAGGACAAATCAGGGAAATCTGACCAAGTGTGGAACCACGGTGCCCATTGACGGTCCGTAGATTGATCTACGGACCGTACTGTTGATCCGTAGAGTGATACTGCGAGGGTTCCAGTACCTGATTTTTGAAGATTCTAAGTATGGAGCTACGGAGGGGATTGACGGACCGTAGGTCGATCTACGGTCCGTACTGCTGGTCCGTCGTTTGCTTCAGAGAAGCTGATTTTTGGAAGCTGAAATATTTACTAAGTCTCGAGTGACGGAATGGACTTACGGACTGTAGATCCATCGACGGTCCGTAAGTCGGTCTCGTGGATTGAAGACGCGTACCTGAACAAAACTTTCCTTAATTTGTTTCCTTTTTTATTTAGGATTTGTTTTCTATAAATAGGACATGTAAACCTCGTTTTTGGGGGTTAGACACTATTATTCTATTTTTGCTTTGTAACTTTGGAGATTAATTTGCAACTCTAGCAATTATTGATTTTCCAAGTTCGTTTTGAAGATTTTGGCTTTGCAATTCAAGTAACATTTCTGGGTTTATTATTCTCTTTACGTAAGTTCATGATTTCTTCATCTACAATTATGAATTGTGTTCTTGCCAATATGAGTAACTAAATCCACAACTAGGGTTGTGGGAACCATGATTGATTAACAAAGTATGAATAGTAAATAAGCAATTTTTGAATAGTGTGTTGCATGTATTGATAATTCTTTCGTTTAGAAGTCTTTTTAACGGTGGCCAACGTTAGAACTCGCCTTGTTGCTACTTGCTGGACCAAGGAGGTAACCAACAAGAAAAGAATTATCAACATAGATTTAGTGTGATACTATCTAATAGGCTAGTGTCGATTGGTGCGAAGTAAGAACTAAGCCAAACATCGATTATGATGTCTAATATGAGGTAAATGTAAGGGTTAGTAAATTATACACACGTAGCCGGACCAAGGTGCGGGGTGAAAGTCTCTAGATGCCGGACCAGGGATTTAGAGATACTTAACTTATCACTTTGCATGTAATACACTAGAAAATGATTGCTATTATTAGGATTACTGCGTTATGAGATTGTGGGGAACACGTATACCCTAGTTATTTATCTTATTTTGATAACAACCAAAGTTGAGTTTGATTATTGATTACTTATTAAGTTCTTACTATTTGTTTCACACAAGCACAACCCCCCTTTTATTACCTGTTTCTGGAAATAATTTGACTAATTGAATATAATTGTTGGTTAAAAGTAAAGTCTAAACCATTTTCCTCGTGGGATCAATCCCAATCTACAAGTTGGGTTCTTTACTTGATAACGATCGCTTATGCTTCTGTAAGGAGGTGTAATTTGAGCGTATCAAATTTTGGTGTGGAGAACAAATAACTTTGTAATAATTTATTATGCGATTTTATAATTTTTTGTTTATTTGATAAGATTGAATAAACAATTGGGGCTATTTTAATAGTTTTACAACTTATGGGATTTTTATGCTTATGAGAAAATATAGAACTCAAAAATTTCATATCGCATGTCCAAACAAACCTTCAATTTCATCTCATGATTCCATATCATAATACCATATCATGATTCCATATCATGATACCATATCGCATGGCCAAACGGGCCCTTAGACAAATAAAAAAAGCTTATATAAGCATTTAGTTTTAAGCTAAAATAATAAAAATAACTAGCTTATAATTTTTGACTTATAAATTAAAGGTCAAAAATCAATCCAAACAGACTCTAAGAGCTTGTTTGACATTGTTGTTGGAAGGCTAAAAATACTTGTTTGAGAAAAAAATATTATTTCTTAAAAAAATCAAGGCGTTTGACTAATAGTAAAATCAGTTTTAAACGAAAACAGAAGCATCTTTTCTGTTGTTGAGAAGAAGCTAAAAATCTATGTTTTTCTTTTAAAGCAGAAGCAGAAAATTATTTATTTCAAGACTAAAATATCCCTGCCATATATATACATATTTACCAGTATATCTTTTCTATTTATTTATTTTTGTAGTAAATTTTTCGTATGTAATGATTTAATTTGTGAAAACATTTAAATTTATTTTACTTGATATTTCTAATTATATTAAATCATCATGTTAATTTTATATAAATATTTTTTATTCATTTATTATAATATTGATTGAAAATTTGAATATTATAATTTACTTTTTTTTAAATATAAAATTTAATTAAAAGTTTTATAATAGATATTTAAAATAACTTATCTTTTTTTTTAAAATTATCTTTATTTAACAATCTTAATATTAAAAATGCATTAATACTTGTCTTTTTTTTGTAATTTAACTCTCAAAGGTATTTTTTTTTTAAAAATTAGCCAAACACAATCTACTTTTCAAAAACACTTTTTAAGAAAAGCTAGTTATTTTAAATTTTCCAAAACACTTTTTTAAAAAGCGATTTTAAAAAGTGCTTCTAATAATATGTTCGATATTCATGTCAGACCGTTGACTCATCTCTTCACTCATGATATTGAGTAAAATCACAGGTGAAGAGATAAAGTTGATTTCAGTTCATTATGTTCGATAATCATGCCAGACTGTTCAAGGCCAAAACTCAATGTAAATAGATTGATTCTTCGATAAGTTAGATTGCAACATAAAATATCAAGTCTTGTGTATAAAGTATATTTTTCAAAGAAAGGGGTTCGATTGTACTCTTGATTAAGAAAGAAAGGTTTGTTATAAATATGCAATATCAAATCGAATATAAGCAAATAAATTAAAAAAACACATCAATTATCATATTATCAAAATAACGATATTAAGAAAATTGATTTTAATATAATATTTGCTATCTATCGTATCATATCAAAGACATGCTCACACATACCAAAAAAAGAAGAAGAAGAAAAAGACAAATTAAGGGACAAATTGATTACGACAATTGACCATTGATCTCTCACATGAGCCATAATCTTTGATTACTCCATAATTATGACGAATGTTGACTGAAATCCTACAGCTTTTTAATTAAATAATTAATCACCGAATCCGATTACTTTGATCTGTTTCTTTCGTTTTTATCGCACTAATAATGTAATAATCGTTTTGTATCACCTATTTATGATTAAGATAATTCATTAATTACCTAATCAAACAAAAAATAAAACGTCTTCAAATCACTCCTATTTAATTGTTCCTTATCAAGGTAAAATCTTAACGGTACCGAATCATCAAACAAGATTGAGTGCTTAAGTATATTTTATTTTATTTTTATATACTACATATAAGTGGAGTATTATTTTTGTAACCTCACCACCTTTATTATGAACCAATAAAAATTCTTTGACATAATTCACAACACATCCTTTTTTTTGTCTCTTTAGATAGACAGCATAAGTTGGTCCACCACTTCACAATTTACATAAATAGCAAAACACTACACACATAATATTTATTATAAGAATTTGCAACCATGAAGGAAGGGATACTTCATCATGATATAGCATAAGATACATTCTTGTATGTTTTTTCAAAAAGAAAAGAACCCCCTCACTCTCAAGAAACTTCCCACCGACGACTCCTCTATATTCCTATTTATAAAACAAAAAAAACCATAGTCTTTCCTTTTCAAACATATATATTTTGGCTCATCCGTTTTATCTGCTATCTTTCATTAGTACATATATAAAAATTAGGTTCAATTTGCACGCATCGATCTTTCCGTTGTTTTATATGCTATCATTCACCGGTCAGTAGAACTATCTGGTAACTTTGTTCATCTGAGTGATAATCATATCTTCGAGGATCCTAATTTGTAAATTAGGTTCAATTTGTTCCTATTGATCTTTCGATTGTTTTATTTGTTATCTTTCATCGGTATAAATATCTGGTACCTTTGATCATCGAAAACATAGGCATATATATCTCCAAGAATCCTAATTTGTATTAGGTTCAATTTGCAAACATCTCTTGGTTTGTTTTGTTTGCTACCTTTCACGGATACACATATATCTGATAACTCCGTTCATCCAAGTAATATCGATCCATATACATATATATCTCCAAGAATCCATATTTCTTTGCTAAAATTAGGTTGTTGAGATGGGGAATTGTGTGTTCAAGGGTTTTGGTTTTGGTGAAGTTGATGAAGAAGAAGAAAACAACAAGATGGTTATAAAAGTGGTGACTTGTAATGGTGGCATCATGGAGTTCCATGCACCCATCACAGCCCATTGCATCACTAATGAATTCCCAGGACATGCCATTTATCATAGCCATGACATGTTCTCTCCACCACTTTTTCCTAATGAGGAACTTCATGCTGGTGAATCATACTATCTCCTTCCTTTACTAAACCATCCTATTATTAAATCCAAAAGAGGTCAAAAAGATGAAAAAAGTGATGTTGATGATGTTACTTCTTGTGATAGTAGTCGAAGCAATTTGCCTCAACCAACACCTTATAGGATGTCATTTGATAATCAAAGGATGCTAAAGAGATCAGAAGCTGAGGTTTTTCCTACCTACAATAGTACAGGTAAATTGAACACCCTTTATCGAAAAATAATTAACGTGTAATTACATGTCAAATATGATCTAAGTTTATGTGTAAGTGTAATTGTTTGGAGTGTCAAATAATACTTTTTAGTCATCTTAAACTTTTCAATATGATTCTAAATCATCAGCTATGTTGACTTGTACTACTTTTCGCACGTGTAGATTAATAATTACAATTTTTTAGAGAACTTATACTTGAATTCATAATCAAACACATAAATTGAGACAAAGAAATATTATATATATGTATATAAATGATCCGTCCTATAATTATGTAAAAATATTAGTACTATTTAGAGAGTCAAACAATTTTTCCTTGACTACAATTTTCTAAAAATACTTTAAATCATCAGCTAAGTTGACTTGTATTATTCGGATAATTTTCAAATATGTGTATTTTATTTTAAATTTTTGAAGAATCTATATTCAAATACATAGTTAAAATTAACTATTTTGATTTTTGTACTTTAAACTTCTTCACATAAATTAAAATAGAAAAAGTAATATAAGTCATATATTAAAATTTAAATACGCTTAACGAAATTTCTGACTTTACTATATGTATATATATATATGCAGGTGTGTGGAAAGTGAAGTTACTTATTAGCCCTGAACAATTGTCAGAAATTTTGTCACATGAGGCACGTACAGAGGCACTAATAGAGAGTGTTAGGACAGTGGCCAAATGTGGTTCTGGTGCTTCTTCTATGGCTACTGCTCACTCAGACAAATGGAGTTATTCTAGCACTAATAATAATAATTGGAAGGCAGCCACTCCTATCTGACTACTCATCATGTTTGAGTTATAGTGTTATTTCCAGGGATTCGAGTTCCGTCGAGTACAGATCGAGTCGTCTTTGTTAAAATAGGTTTTAATTTCAATGTTGAATTTCTCAACGTAAATTCAAATTCAGCCAGACATCAATATAAATATCGAACTATCAAATAAGAAATTAAAAAAATGTTATTTTCTTTGCTAATAAAGTTATATGTTCTTGTGTGAATATAGCAGTGATTGAGATGAGAATTCTATGGTAATATTCATATTAGTTGATGTTTAGTTTTAGGTCTTAAAAAATGATTGAGAGAATAAACATATAAAAAATATATATTTCTTTTAATATGTATAAAAATAATAAGTAAGAGTGAAAATATATTCTTAATATAATGATCAAATAAAAATAAACGGAGAAAATACCATACTACTAGCCAGGTTTAGAAAACACCACAAGGGGTTGCAAGTACCTTCTCATGCTCATGCGATTGATCAATATGGCTCAAAAATATAATCGGGCCCAAATCCATTTTAAAAGTTCGATGTAGAAAAAAAAAGAATTCAACACGAACAAACAAATGGCATAAAATAACCAAATTTCCTAATCCTCACAAGCTCAAATTCTTTTTAAACTGCCCCAAATTTTAGATATTATCTTTTCTCAATCTTTCGAATCTTTGATATATTATTTACTTAAAATAATTCAAATTTTAGATATTAGCTTCTCTTGATAGTTTGAGTTTTTTTTTTTTTTTTATATATATATTTATTCACTCGTAATGATTCACATATTTTTAGCAGGTTGAATTTTAAAAAATGAGCTTTGAAATTCTTCAATGACGGATTTAAATGGACATCAACTTTTTTTTTTTGGTTTCTCACCCGGTGTCCAGGGCCCACATTGGAGCTCCAACTAAATCCGGATTGCGCTCTGCAGGGCCCATTCGGGGGTGGCGCTCCCAACAGGATTTTCTCCATACCCAGGGCTCGAACCTGAGACCTCTGGTTAAGGGTGAAACACTCTCACCAGTGCACCACAACCCATGTTGGTATGGACATCAACTTAAATCTTCCTTTAAACAACTCAAATTTTAAATATGAGTTTCTCTCAATATTTTTTTTTGATATATTATTTATTTAAAACGATTCACATATACGACAAATTCAATTCACAATTTGTAATATAGCCCAAGGTGAATCTGGCTTGAATTATAAAAAAAAAACAAGGACGTCAAAATTCTCTCATTGATGACTCTTTCTAATTGGTGTTTAGTTAAGTTTAGAGGTGATAAAATGGTTAAAATTTATGGTTATTCAAAAGTGGGTTGAATATGAATTAATCTATTCATCTCAAATATGAATAAATTTTGGGTATCCATCAAGTGCACTCCCCTTAAAGTAAATCAGGGTGTAGGAACCTCTAAAAAATTACACTTATTAATGTTGTACTGGGTATAAAGTAAAAAATGTTTTACAAAATTTTTATGTTTAATTGACTTAATATTTTGGCGAATATTAATGTGGTTTAGGATCTTTTTTTCCCCTTCCTATGTGGATAAATAAAAGTCTTATTAGGCCTAGCCCACTTTAGCCCATAACCCAAAATATTATGTGGCATATATAAGGCTTATTTGGTCTTATTTTCAGAAACACAAGAGAGAAAAATCAAGAGAGTTTCGTTTTAGAGATTGAGAGAAAAAGAGAAAAATCTCGTTTTTGCTTCTGGAAATTTTCTGCTCAGGCAGTCCGCTTCAGACAGAGTTTTCCACTTCGTTAACCGTTGGATCGTTCTCAAATTTGAACTGAGAGTTCTCAGAATCTGGTTCTTGCAATTCAACGGTGGAGATCGGATTTGGAGATCTGTAGATTCTGATTTTGGGGCGTGAACAGTAGCGCGTTTTTTGGGTGAAATCTTTTCTTTAATTCTCTAGTTTTGGTGCAATCTTGATTTGTTGTTGCTCGTTGTTTGGCACTTGTTTTGTGGCCAATTTTGGAGAACAATTTTGTAACTCTTGGTGTTTATAGTGGAGCTTTTGGTCTTGTGGTTTTTTACTCTTCACATCGAAAGGTTTTCCATGTAAATCGTTGTGTCTTGTGTGATTGGGTTATTCTTATCTTGTTGCTTTAGTTTGATTGATATACTTGTTGTCCATTCTTCATATTGCTTGATTCGGTTTGTCTTCTCTTGGTTCAAATTGAAAGGGAAAGTTTAGATTTGGGTATTATTCCGCTGCTATCCTGTCTGATATTCTTGTTAGTGTCTTGTCTTTTCCAACAAAGTGGTATCAGATCATTGGTTGTTGTTCATTATTGATTTGAATTATGGAGGCAAATATGAGCAAGATGGTTTGTTTGAATGGTAGTAACTATCATATTTGGAGAGGCAAGATGAAAGATCTTCTATTTGTCAAGAAAATATATTTACCTGTGTTTACCTCTAATAAACCCCAATCCATGACGGATGAGGAATGAGAATTTGAGCACTTGCAGGTTTGTGGCTATATTAGACAATGGGTTGAAGATAATGTTCGAAATCACATTGTGAATGAGACACATGCCAGAAGTTTGTGGGACAAGCTCGAGACGCTTTATGCTTCGAAGACTGGAAACAATAAGTTGTTTCTATTGAAACAATTGATGAATATCAGGTATAAAGAGGGCACTCCTATTTCTGACCATATTAATGATTTTCAGGGTGTTCTTGACCAGCTATCTGGAATGAATGTAAAATTCGATGAAGAAATACAGGGACTATGACTTCTTAATACTCTGTCAGACTCTTTTGAAACTCTTCGAGTTCCTTTGACTAATTCTGCTCCTAGTGGTGTTGTGACCATGGAATATGCAAAGAGTGGTGCCTTGAATGAAGAGATGAGAAGGAGATCTCAAGGCTTAACTTCTTCTACTTCACACTCCGATGTTTTGGTTACTGAAGATAGGGGGAGAAACAAGTTCAGAGGTCAGAGTGACAGAGATAAAAGTAGAGGTAAGTCAAAGTCTAAATACAAGAATGTTACATGTGACTATTGCCACAAGAATGGGCATATCAAGAAATTTTGTTTTAAGTACAAGAGAGATATGAGACAACAAAAGAAAGAAGGTGACAATGAAAATCGTGTTGATGTTGTTGCTAATGATGATCTTCTTGTTTCTTGTGATGAAAATGCCGTCAATCTTGTTCGTGATGAGTCTAGCTGGTTTGTGGATTCTGGTGCTACTTCTCATGTCACGCCCAAGAAGGAATTATTTTCTTCTTATACTCCAGGTAATTTTGGGATGTTGAAAATGGGTAATAATCATGAGGTTGCAGTTCTTGGTATTGGGACAGTTTATTTGGAAAGTAACAATAGTTCCAAACTAGTTCTCAATAATGTCAAATATGCTCCAGATGTTCGCTTGGATTTGATTTCTGTGGGATACCTTGATGATGAGGGTTATGTTAATACCCTTGGTGCTGGCCAATGGAAGCTTACTAAAGGTTTGATGATTGTAGCCCGTGGTGATAAGTTTTCTAACTTGTATGTTTTTCAGGGCTCCACTTTTAGAGGCTCAATAAATTTGGTGGAGAATGATACTTTATCATTGTTATGGCATAGAAGACTAAGTCATATGAGCGAGAAGGGGATGAACAATTTGGCTAAGAAGAATTTGCTTTATGGAGTGAAACAATCAAAGTTGAACAAGTGTGTTCATTGCTTAGCAGGTAAACAAAAGAGAGTTTCTTTTCAGAGTCATCTACCTTCAAGAAAGCTTGATTTGCTGGAGTTGGTACATTCTGATTTGTGCGGTCCTTTTAAGGTAAGGTCTCATGGTGGTGCACTTTATTTTGTGACTTTTATTGATGATTATTCACGCAAACTCTGGGTATTCTCTTTGAAGTCTAAGGATCAGGTACTTGATGTGTTCAAGAGTTTTCAGGCCTTGGTTGAGAGACAAACAAGGAAGAAATTGAAATGCATTCGTTCTGATAATGGTGGTGAGTATATTGGCCCCTTTGATAGATATTGCAGAGAGCAGGGTATTCGGCATCAGAAAACTCCTCCAAAGACTCCTCAACTAAATGGTTTGGTGGAGAGGATGAATATAACTCTTGTTGAGAAAGTTAAATGTATGCTTTCAGATGCTAAGCTGCTAGATTCCTTTTGGGCAGAAACACTTAATACTGCTGCATATGCTATCAATTTATCTCCTACTGTTGCTTTGAATAGTGATGTCCCTGACAGAGTTTGGTCTGGTAAGAATGTTTCTTATGATCATTTTAAAGTTTTTGGGTGTAAAGCCTTTGTGCATGTTCCTAAGGATGAAAGATCAAAGTTAGATGTTAAAACTAGGCAATGTATCTTTGTTGGTTATGATCAAGATGAATTTGGCTATCGTTTCTTTGATCCAGTTGAGAAGAAACTTGTTAGAAGCCATGATGTTGTGTTTTTTGAAGACCAAACAATTGAAGATCTTGACAAAGTTGAGAAAGTTGATTCTTAGAGTAGTGACAGTCTAGTTGAAGTTGATCCAGTGCCTTTGACTATTCCACCATGTGAAAATCTTCAAAATGATGAAAATCAAGTTGATATTGAAGATGGTGATCATATTCAGAATGACCAGTATGCCGCTGATGCTCCAGTGCAAGACTATGTGGTTGGTCTGCAACCAACTATTATTTATGCTCCAGAGAGTTCTCTCAGAAGATCTACTAGAGTGAAAATACCTTCATCTCGTTATTCTTCTAATGAGTATGTGCTCTTGACTGATGGGGGAGAACCAAAGAGTCTTGATGAGGCCATGGAAAGTGAAGAAAAAGAAAAGTGGTTTGATGCTATGGAGGATGAAATGAAGTCTCTACATGATAATCATACCTTCGATTTGGTTATGTTACCTAAAGATCGAAAAGCTTTGAAAAACAGGTGGGTTTTCCGGGTGAAACATGAAGATGGTAATCCAGTTCCACGGTACAAGGCTAGATTAGTTGTGAAGGGTTTTAGCCAGAAAAAAGGGATTGATTTTGATGAGATA